TTCGCGGTCTCCTCCGCAGTCCTCTTCTCCGCGTCACGTCGGCCACCGGCGATGCTCTTGGCCGGCGCCACAGGTGACGCCCTATGGCTCCCCTCATCGCCGAGGTCGACACCGGAGTCAGGCTACGCGGTTCAACGGGAAGAGAATGGGAAGAAGGGGCAGGAGATGGCGAGGCAGGGGCGAGCGCGACATCCTTATCAGCCCGCTCATCAACCTAGGCGAGCGGAGGAAGCGTCGCCTTCGAGGTGTCCGTCGGCAGGTTGGCCCGCGTCCGCCCCGACGCAGGCCCGAGGTCCGACTTCCACACCTCCAGCGACAGGGTTTCGTAGAACACCACGTCCAACTTGGTGACCAAACGGGTGTCGGCGATGTCGAGGAGCTCCCAGCCTTTGTTCTTCTCCGACACGCCGAGGTGAAGGCCCCACCGAGCCTTTGGCTGCAGTTTTCCACCGTGCTGCTGCTCAGAGACAAGGATCTGCGCCATGCAGCCCCACACCCGCACCATCGACAAGTCTGGCTTCTGCCCGGTGAGGAGCTGGTACGGCGTCATCCCCGCGGGCAGCGAAGACCGCTCCAGGCAGTTGCGAACCCAGACGGCCTGCCGCAGAGCGAGATGCCACCAGTGGTGTTGCACGCCCATGTGCAGCAGCATCGTCTGCACAGACTCCACCACCGTCCGCATCTCCCGCTCCGCCATGCCATTTTGCTGCGGGGTATAAGGGCAGGTCAAGTCATGGAAGTCGGTGAAGTCCTTCCCGAGGAACTCCCCTCCGCGGTCAGAACGCAGTTGCAGCACCGAATACTTCGCCTGCCGCTCCACCAGCACCAGCCACTTCTGGAACTCCAGCAGCACGTCCGACTTCTTGGATACTGGCCTCACCCATACGTAGCGTGTCTTGCGGTCCTTCAGCAGCAAGAAGTACAGGCTACCATCCTTGGAAGCCACGCGAAATGGCCCGCACAGGTCGATGTGCACGACGGCCAGGGCGTCATCGGCTTCGGAGCCATGGTCGGGGAAGGTGTGCCACGCCAGCTTCCTGCCGACGCACAAAACACACGGTGACTTGAGGTCCAGCCCGGTGGCGACCTCGTGCTTCGCCGAGCTCCGTATGGTGTCTATGCCGACATGCGCAAGCCTCGCATGTAGCCTGTTCGGGGTTGCCTTCGTCGCCGAGACTATCGCCCGCAGAGCCACTCCTCTTTCGTGGGCGTCATCGACTTTACCGCGCATGGGCGCAGGTCAGTGCAGAGGACCCGGCCGGTGTACGTCGCGCGACCGAGCACGTCCCCTGCCGCAGAGACGAGCAACATCCGGTCGCCGTCGTCCTTCAGCGTCACCCCGCTCTCCTTCAGCTGGCCAGATGAAAGCAGATTCGCTTGCACGCCCAAGACGTAGAGAACGTCGAAGATGAGCAACCGCTTCCCGGCCTTCCCTTTCAGCACAAACGTGCCACGGCCGTGAACGTCCTACAGCGCCCCATTGAAGCCACGCACGTGCTTCACGTCGCCACTCGGCTCCAAGTCGACGAAGGCCTCCTTCGTCCCCATCAGGTGGTGCGAGCAGCCGCTGTCGAGAAGGACCACAGCAAGATTCGCTTGCACAGCTGCCGCCACCGCCTGGAAATCCTCGCCCGCCTCCGGTGCCAGCAAGACGGTCGGCTCCACGATACCGACCAGCGAGCACGACGCCTCCTTGTCACCTTGCCCTTTGCCACCCGCAGAAGAGTCGGTGACCTTCACCGAGGTCGACTTCGTCGACTGCTTCTCTTTTCCCGGCTTGTTTCCTCGACGTGGACGATGGCTGCCAGACCTCCCGCGACCTCCCTTGGTTTTGTCGTCGTCCCAGTCACTGTGGTCGGGACACTCGAAGGAGAGGTGATCGGGATCGCCGCATAGCCAGCATTCCCGACATCGACCTTCTTCTCCACGACTGCCCTCCTTGGCTGACTTCTGCTTCCCGCCACCGCGGTGATTGCCACCAGACTACGCGCGCTGTCTCGGACGACCACCTTGCTTCGTGGGGGTGACGAAATATACTTGTGCGAGAAGCTCTTGGGACCCCTCAGCCTCCTGCATCGCCTCGTCCTGCAGGATGTACGAGGTCAATGTGTCCTCGTTGAGCGTCGCTCGCGTGCTCGGCGCCATCGACAGCCGCTTCAGCAGGTTGTAGCTGCTCGGGAGTCCCTGCATAACGTGTGTAACGTACGATGCTGTTGAGTATTCCGCGCCAGCCATCCGAATGGTGGCGAGAATTCGCCGAGCTCGGTTGCAGTAGTCAGTCACGGTCTCCTCATCGCCCATACGCAGGTGCGTCAACTGCCCTTCAAGCTGAGCGATGAACAAGTTGTCGGTGACCTGGTAAGTTGACTCGATGAAATGCCACGCCCAGTGGCCAGCGTTGAGGTACTCCCTGCACGACTTCAGGGCGATCTGTACGCCCGGCGAGCAGCACCGCGATATGACCGTAAAGGTCAGCAACTGCACGTCGCAAAATTCCACTCGCAGGTCGGGGTAGTGCTCCTCTGGCGTCGTCACGGTCCCGCGGGCGAAGCCCATCAGCCCGGCCATCTCCAGCTGGGGTTCGATGGCTTCTTTCCACGTGAGGATGTCAGGACGACCGACCAGCGGAGGTGAGACCGAGATCCTGTCCGGCGTAAACTTGAAGTAGCTGTAGCTCGGCGCAATTCCTCCCGCGGTCACGTGAGTCGCCGACATCGGCACCAATTTACTTCGTCTGCCTCCGACGTAGTTTCGCAGGGCCCCTGCAGCCGTCGATGACTGCATCCCTCGCGCCTGAACGCCGCCGATTTCATCGGCGTGAATCACACCTCGCTGCCTCGACGTGCCTCCCGCGCTGCTACCGACTTGGTCACCCGAGACGTTGACTCCCACGTCGACGCCGCCTGCGTTGTTCACCGGTCGAGGAGATACAGGGCAAGAAGGGGGGTGCTCCGCCGCCCACAAGGCGCAGATGCCAGCCTCGACCACCGTCAGTGGGAGAGTTCCGTACTCGTTCACCGCATGACGTCTCCTTGCGTCCTCCAGCCGTGCTTCCAAGGTGTCCACGACGCCCGCCTCTACCACAGGGTCCACCATGGCGTCCAACACAGCCGCCGGTCTACGAACAAACTAGGTGAGTGAGAAGTCTGCTAAACTGAAGGTTTCTTCGCGGTGTCGTCCACGCTCACCGCACCATGCGGAGATAACTAGTGCAACGGGAGCTAGACTATGGGTCAGGCACGGATGCTCGTGTGATCTCTGCGTTTGTTTGTTCATCAGTCAATTCCAACTGCTAACACTGCTTGCTAGTTCACGGGGAAAATTGGCAAGAGTTTCACTAGGGAAACATGACAACAAAATTTCAGAATGATTAGCATCAACATTGGAAACACAGACTACATCAGACCTAGCAAGGCTGCTGGTCGACTGCCAGCGCAGCACGGTCGGCCGCGTGCCAGCACGACTTGGTCGACCACGCTCCAGAAGAGCAGATTCGCGGCTTGCCAACGTTGCAAATCCGCAGTGTGCCAACGACAGCGTTGCACCCGCCTAACAATGGTGCACTAGCTTCGCAGGTGCATGTAGCTGGTTGGCGCTTAACTCCCCGTCACATGCCCAGCGCAGACACTCCACCCGTGACGGCGCTCACCAGCCACGTCGACCTCGGGATACCATCCCAATGTCGCCCTCGCCGACAACACCCCCAGTGATTTTCGCGCACGTCGCCCGGGTATCCTGGTTGACCGAGTAGTTCGTGGCCCCCGATCGTCCACCCGCGGCCACCACGGTCCCCGCGGTCCCATGGTCTCCCGCGGCCCTCCCGCGGTCCTACCGCGGTCCCGTGGTACCCGCAGTCCTCCCGCGGTTCCGCGGCCTTCCCACAGTCCCACGGTCCCCGCGGTACCCGCGGTCTTCCCCACGGTCCCCACGGTCCTCCCGGTCCCCACGGTCCCCCCGCGGTCCCCACGGTCCTCCCGCGGTCCCCACGGTCCTCCCGCGGCCCCGTTGTTCTACCGCGGTCCCGCGGTTCTCTGTGATTTCGCGGCCACTGCGGTCTTTTCGCGGTCGGCTCCACCCAAGCGAGGACGGGGCCAAACACAACTCCCGTTGACAGTGGTGATAAAATGGGGGGATCTTGAAGTGCTTCTGATAGCACCGTACCTGCTTGCGCAGCCAGAGAACATAGCTCCTTTCTACAGGGACTGCTTGGGCCCGTTCCTCTGCACCCTTCCGGACCTGCCAAATATTCCGGTCATGGGGGATCTTAACGTGATCGAAGACCCGGAACTGGACAAGTCCACTGGGGTGGGCTCGGCGGGGTGGACTTGCCTAGCTAGGAGAGCACCTAGCCTAGGAAATCAAGCAATTGATGCATGCATAAAATAGTCCTATGCTAGAAATATCATAATGAAGTCTAGGCAAGCAAGCATAGCTTGCATAAGCCGTCGTAATCTCACACCGGCGTCTGATGAGTTACTGGGCGCGTCCTCCTCTCACGGACACCTTCCGTTACGTGTACCCGGGCAAGAGGGAATATACCTTTCATGCGGGGAAGAAAGTGAGCAATAGGATCGATCGCGCCTTGTTGTCGCAACCCCTGCTGTGCAAGCTGGTCAAGGCCCGTGACAAGTTTATAACAAATAGGATGACTGACCATTGGAGTGCTATGATGGTGGCGCTTGAATCGTCATCGGTTGGGAGAAAGGGTGTAGGAATCTGGAGGCTAAGGGTGGCACAAGAAAAGAAGCTGGGTATCAGGGAGTGCATGCGGCGGGGGCAGAGGGACGCCGGGGTGACTTGGAGGCGTTACTCCCGCGGCTGACGGCCTGTTTACGAGCCTACTTACGGGAAGAATGGAAAAGGGTCAAGGCGACGAGGGCGCACGTGGAGCGAGATGTTGAAGTTTACAGGAGCCGGCTGTCGCGGAACCCAGACTCTCAGTGTACGGGGATTATTCTGCTCGAGAAGAGGAGCTCCTGAATACATACAAAAAGAGTCATATGGAGAATCTGCAGGCGTGGGCAGGCATCAAATTGGAGCTGAACGGGGAGGCGACATCCGGTTTCCTGTCCGGAAAATTCAAGACGCGGAAAGTCAGGAAGGAGATGCATGAGATTAAGTTCAAGGGGCGAACCGACCCTAGGGCAAGGGAGGTGCTTACGGTGGCGACGCAGTTCTTCAAGGAGTCTTTCGGTGGCGTTGATGACTCTGCTGACAGCGGGGAGCCAAAACCTCTAGAGCGTACCATGGGGGAAGCCAACAGAGAAGCCCTCAAGGCGCCGTGGTCGGAGGAAGAGGTGCGGACGGTGGTTCGGGAGCTGGCCCCGAGGATGGCGCAGGGGCAGGGTGGTCTTCCAAAGGAGCTGTTCGAGCACAACTGGGACCTCCTTGGCCTGTCGCTGATGCAGTTGGTGAATAATTTCACCCGCACGGCGCCTCGACGACGATCACCATACTGCTGCACAAAAAGGGGAGCAAGGAGGAGCTGGGGAATTGTCGGCTGATAACCTTGCTTAGCATCGTCTACAAAATACTAGCGAAGGTGTTGGCGACAAGGCAGAAAATGGTGCTACATGAGGTGATCTCGGCAGACCAGGTTGGGTTCTTACCAGGGCGAAGGCTGGCAGACGCGGTCACGGTCGTAGCGGATGCGATTGTGGCGGAAGCCGGCGGCAGGGAAGACTGAGTCCTGCTCATGGTTGACTTTCAAAAGGCCTTCGACTCCATCTCGGGGGGCTTTCTCTTCCGCACGCTGAGGGGCATGGGGATCCCGGAGGAGTTCGTGGCCTGGGCAGAAGGGCTGCACAAGGAGACGAGGACGAAGGTTCATGTGAACGGCTGGACAGGTGATACGGTTGCGGTTAAAAAGAGGGTGCGGCAGGGGTGCCCTCTGGCCCCTTATCTCTTCCTCTGCGCGGTCGAGCCACTGTGTCAGGAGCTAACAAGATGCAAACTGGGTATCGGCCAAAGGGACACGGGGAAGCTGACGTACCTAGGGTATGCCGACGACACCTCGCTTCTTTTGCGGGGCGCGGAGCAGCTGTCGGTTGCGGCTGGTATCCTGGAGGATTTTGGCAAAAAGTCGGGTCTGAAGGTGAACCGAGATAAGACGGCGGTGCTCCCCCTAGAGAAGAACAGAGGAAAACCGCCGGAAAATTGGATGGGGTGCACACTGAGTCTGCACAGGTAGTCGTGTTCGATTAGGTGGCTGCGTCTTGCTCGTGTCGGTACCCATGCACCCGTCTCTCCTTTGACACCACCGTCTTGGTCACCCCTCCCTACAGTGTCTGCGTTGCATGCACTCACGTCTTCTTGTCTCTCGCCTCTCGAGGTCCCTGCCCCCCCTCCCGCCGTCGTTTGCGCCGTCGTGCACTCCCTGCGTAGAGGGGCGGCAGCGCACCGCTCCTCACTCCTCCGCGTTCCCTTCCGCTGATGCTCCTCTGCAGACACTGCACATAGACATGTGGGGCCCCGCCCCCGTCCCTGGGCTACACCAGGACCGCTACTTTATGGTGGTCGTAGACGACTTCACGCGCTACACCTCGGCGTTCCCTTGCGGAGCAAGGGCGACGTCCGTGCTGTTTTGATCCCTTGAATCTGTGTTGTTCGTCTCCAGCTGAGCGCACGGTTCCACCAGGACCTCCCGGTGTTGCGACTGCACTCTGGCCGTGAAGGTAAGTTTTCCTCTGATCTCCCCTAGGACTTTGGTCGTGAGGACGGCATCATCCAGCAAAATGGGATCGCTGAGCGCCGCATTGGCTTGATCATGGAGGTTGCACGCACCTCCATGATCCATGTGGCTGCGCCGTTTGGGGTTTACTTGTCCTTGTCCGCGATACTACCGCGGGCAAGCTTTATTCTTGCACTATTCACTGTGTCTTTCTTGGATTTCCTACTGACGTGCCTGACTTGCAGTTTTACCACCCAGCCACTCGTCGCAACCTGTCCTCTCGCGACGTCACCTTTGACGAGTCGGCCTCCTTCTACCGTCTCTTCCCCCACACATCTTCTCTTGCCCCCACGCCGCCCCTCTTCGTGGTTCCAAATTACCCCCCGGTAGACCCCCACCCCTTTACGCGTCCTGCTCCCTCAGGTGTGTCTCAGGTCACACCACCCCCCTTGGTTGATCCTTTAAAGGTCTCTTCTGGCCCAGCTGAGGGGGTGATCTTGCTGCTGACAACACGGCGGCCTCAGCCGCTCACCGCGCTTGGAGACCTCTCCTGGTTTTCGCCTCGGTCGTTTTCGCCGCCTCGGCAGCCTGTTGCTATGGACTCCGGTGCTACTGGGGGTGGTGCCTCTTGAGGTTTGGGCTCTGAGGGTGCTGGTTCTGGGGGTGCTGAACTTGGCGGTGATGGCTTTGGGGGTGCTGATCTTGGGGATGCTGACACTGGAGGTGCTGGCTCTGGGGATGCTCAGCCTGGGGATGCTGACGCTGGAGGAGCTGGAGGTGCTGGAGCTGGATGTGCTGGAGCTGGAGGTACTGGAGCTCGAGGTGCTCGACATGCTGGAGCTAGAGGTGCTGGAGGTACTAGTGCTGAAGGCACAGGAGGTACTGAAGCTGAATGTACTAGAGCTGGAGGTGCTGATGCTGGAGGTAATGCCCAGAAGGTGCTGAGGGTTCTGATGCTGGAGATTTTGGAGCTGGAGATACTGGTCGTGATGGTGCTGCAGGTACTGGAGCTGGAGGTACGGGAGGTTCTAGTGTGGGGGTGCTGCGCAGCGACTGTAGCGGCGAACGTTCTTCTGGCCACAGATCGGCGCTAAGCCAGGTACTCGGAATTCCGTCTTCCACTAGCACTACTCCTTCTTTACTGTGTTCACCGCAGTTCCTCGGTGCCCCCCCCACCCCTCTTCCTGGTTCCAGGTTCCCCCCCAGGTAGAACCCTTGCCCACCTCCCCCTTCGCGTCCTGCTCCTTCCGGTGGGTCTCACGTCACACCATCCCTCTTGGTTGAGCCTTTTGAGGTTTCCTCACGCCCTGCTAGCTCGGCTGTGGGGGGGTGACCCTGCTGCTCGCTGACTTGGGAGGCCGACTTGGAGTGGCCGACTTGGGAGGTCGACGTGCACATACAGGAGCAGCTGGTCAAAGTGGTTGCCCAGTCGACCAGGTTACCTCGGTGAGGAGACTCTGCGGAAGAGCGCGACGGTCACCCAGGCGATGTTGGCGAGGCTGACCTCGGGGGTGGTATCCCGAGGTCGACGTGGCGGATCGGGTGGAGTCGTCAGCACGAGGATGACACGGTGTGTGCGTTGTGCAGGTGACGAGGCTTAGCCTGCCAATCATCTGTGAGCACCTGCGAAGTAGGTGCGCTGCTGTTCTGCGGGAACAACGCTGGCAAGCCGACAACCTGCAGCGTTGGCACGCCATCGACTTTGCACCGCTGGAGCGCGGTCGACCAAGTCGTGCTGGAACGCGGTCCACGATGCTGCGCTGGTAGTCGACCGACCTGAATGCTAGCTCTGATGTAGTCTTGTCCTGCCAACTTCATTGTACCATTGTTGACAACTTTCTCTAGTGAAAATCTTGCCTAATTGCCCCGTGACCTAGCAAGTACTGTGTGCACTAGGAAAACGACTAAGGAACTTTGAACGCAGAGATCACACGAGCATCCATGCCTAGCCCATAGTCTAGCTCCTGTTGTAGTAGTTATCTCCGCAACTGGTACCACCCCAGTCGCCACCATTGCCCCCGCCTCCACTCCCATTGCCGCCACCACTGCCGCCTCTACTACCGCCACTGCCGCCACCACCGCCGCCACCTGCACCTCCACCCCCACCACCACTCCTCAGCCACCGCCGCCCTCTCCACCACCTCCACCGCCCCCACCACCGCCTCCACCTCTGCCGTCCACACCGCCCCTGCCTCCCCTGCCGCTGCGGGGCCTCCCACTAGAGGCAGACACAGCTCCTACCTCCTCAGCACGAAGGTAGTCAACAGTTGTAGTAGAGGCGAAAGATGGGAGAAGGGGGGAGGGCGAACACTCCTCAAAGAAGGGGGTGCAAGGAGTGCCACAAGAAGCACCTGCAGCGACTATGCTAGTCTCAGCTGCTAGGAGGTGCTTCTCGAGCAGGTCGACAGTGAGGTCGGTGGGGTCAATTGCTAGGAGGAGGTCCCTGACTGCAGTGAGAGAGTCTGGGAGGCGAGTGACGATGAAGTAGAGCGTGATGTACATGAGGGGGGGGGGGGGTGAGAAACTCGGTGGGGAGCGCAGCACGGTAGCGAGTGTCACTAGTGCGGAGTTGAGTGACTAGGTCGGCCACTGTAGCAAAGGCGGACAGGTCTGGGAACAGGTAGGGTAGGAGAAGGCGGCATAGAGCATCAGTGGCCGGGGAGGAGTAACGAGCGACTACAGCATCGTACAGTGCTTTAGCTGTCTAATACTGGCCAAAGTGGGCGCGTTCGTCTAACGGCAGGTGGTTGCGAACGGCTAGGCGAGCAGCAGTGTCACGGGTAAGCCACTGTGAGCAGGTCGCACTGTCAGCTGTGGCGTCAAGGGCGGGCGAGGTGCCAGAAGTGAGGTCAAACTGTCGAACTTATATGCTATAGTCTGTTTAGGCTGTAGTGGGGTAGTCAATATGGGGTACAACACTTTAGGGTTTCCTACTTGTACTCTTCATGCTGCTCAATGCGGTCATTCATTCCTACTTTTTTCACATGGTATAGAGCAAGTTCCCTAGTGGGAATGCTTCCTAGGGACCACCACGATTTTATTTCCTGCCCGGAGCGCGCTTTGCTCCTGCCCGACTCGCGCCCCGTGTGCCCTCCCTACCGTTGCGTACCTAGCCCTTAACGGCCCGTTGCGCCCTCCTCAGGCCCCTAGCGGCCCCTTTCACGGCCCCACTTGGCCTCTAACGGCCCCATCGCCGCCCTGCCGGCCCCGTTGACGACCCTAGCGGCCCCGTAGCCGACCCTAGCAGTCCCGTTGCCGCCCTGCCGGCCCCGTCGCCAACCCTTGCGGCCTCGTCGCCGCCCAAAGCGGCCCCGTCGCTACCCTATCAGCCCCATCGCTGACCCTTGCGGCCCCGTCGCCGCCCTAAGCGGCCCCGTGGCCGCCCTATCGGCCCCGTTGCCGCCCTCAGCGGCCCCGTCGCCAACCCTTGCGGCCCCGTCGCCGCCCTATCGGCCCCTAAGCGGCCTCGACGCCGACCCTACCGGCCCCGTCGCCGCCCTAAGCGGCCCCGTCGCCGACCCTACCGGCCCCATTGCCGACCCTCGCGACCCTGTCGCCGCCCTCATCGGCCCTGCCGCCGCCCTACCGGCCCCGTCGCCGACCCTAGCGGCCCGGTCGCCGCCCTCACCGGCCCCGTCGCCGTCTCTACCGACCCCTTCAACGCCGCCAGCAGCCCAGCTGCCGATCCGCCCAGCAGCCGAGCCGCCGAGCAGCCGCGCCGCCCAGCAGCTGAGCCGCAGAGCCGCTCAGCAGCCAAGCCGCCAAGCCGCCGAGCAGCCGATCACCCGAGCCGCCCAGCAGCCGAGCCGCCGAGCAGCCGAGCCGCCGAGCCGCCCTTCCTTCTGGCGCGCCCCGGCCCTACTTCCTTGGACTGGTGAGCTCACTCCCTGATAGGCCACTGCAGTCATGGCTACCCCCAGTGCCCTTACCTTTGATACTGAGGGTCGTGCTGTTGACTTTGAGGTCTGGGTCGATGACCTCCAGCTGTTCTTACAGTGCGATAGGGCGGACGGACTCTCACTGTTCGATCTCACCTCTGGTGTCTCTCCTGCCCCGCCTGCTACAGCTGACAGCACTGTTCGCTCACAGTGGGCCACGCGCGATGCTGCTGCACGTCTTGCTGTGCGTCGCCACTTACCGACCACTGAGCGTGCGCACTTTAGCCAGTACAAGAGTGCTAAGACCTTGTACGACGCTGTAGTTGCACGCTACTCTTCCCCTGCCACTGCTGCACTTAGTCGCCTCATGCTACCGTACCTGTTCCCTGACCTTTTACAAGATCGGGGGGTTGACCAGTTCATGCCTGCGAGTCAGCGGGTGACCCACTGCACGTGTGCTCGGACGGGTCGACACTTGGCCACGTTTACCCATCAGCCGGGGTCGAGCGTGTACACACTGACCACTGAGTCTCCTCCTGTTGCTGAGTCAGGCCAGGTAGCTGCGTCGAGTCAGGTGTCTGCTGCAGCGTCCAGGTCTGGTCCTGAGTCTGCGCCCTGCTCGTGTCGTCTCCTGTCCCACCAGACTCTCCTTGGCACCACCGCCTTGGTCACCCCTCCCTGCTGTCAGAACATTATAGCTTATATATTTGTGTAGGCTATAGTGGGGTATCCCATAGGGGGTACAACCCAATCAGGGTTTCCTATATGTACTCACTTCATTCATAGTTCATTCATTCTCGTTCTAGTTTCTTTCACATGGTTTCAGAGCGGTTACGCTCTCGGCCTGTGGGTACTACTGCTTCCGCTGCTACATGCTCTGTTGCACTTTGGCGCGCGCCTCGGGGCGCCCGGCCTCTTTCTTTTCTGGCGCGCCGCCCGTCCCGGCCCCTAGCCGCCCGCGCGCCGCTCGTCCTGGCCCCTAGCCGCCCGCGCGCCGCCCGTCCTGGCCCCTAGCCGCCCGCGCGCCGCCCGTCCCGGCCCTTAGCCGCCCGCGCGCCGCCCGTCCCGACCGCGCGCCGCTGCTCCAGCCCGTCGACGCCCGTGAGCCGCCCGTCCCGGCCCCACGCCGCCCGTGCGCCGCCCGTCCCGGCCCCGCGCCGTCAACCGGCCCCCACTCCGCCCGTGCGCCGCCCGTCCCGGCCCCACGCCGCCCGTGCGCCGCCTGTTCCGGCAGCGCACCGCCGTCCCGGCCCCACGCCGCACGTGCACCGCCCGTCCGGGCCCCGCGCCGTCGTCCCGGCCCCCACTCCGCCCGTGCGCCGCACGTCCCGGCCCCACGCCGCCCGTGCGCCGCCCGTTCCGGCAGCGCGCCGCCGTCCGGGCCCCACGCCGCCCGTCCCGGCCCCACGAAGCTGCCCCGGCCCGTCGCCTGCTGCATTGCCGAGCCGCCCCCCCCACCCAGCCGCCGAGCAGCCCAGCAGCCGAGCCGTAGCCGAGCCGCTGAGCAGCCCAGCAGCCGAGCCGCAGAGCAGCCGAGCCGCCCGAGCCGCCCGAGCCGCCCGAGCCGCCCGAGCCACCCGAGCCGCCGAGCCGCCGAGCCGCCCGAGTCGCCCGAGCAGCCGAGCCGCCCGGGTCGCCCGAGCCGCCGAGCCGCAGTTGCTGCAGTGCCGCCGTGCCGCCGAGTCGCCGAGTCGCCGAGTCGTCGAGCCTGCTCTTCCCACCACTGGTGAGCCCCTGCCTTACTAACGCGCTGCCCGCAGCTTGCTTGGCTGCCTGCCTTACTCCTGCTACTCCTGCTCCTGCTTCTACTGGCGGCGGCCAGATGTAGCTCCAGCGACGCCCACGCGCGTCTCTCACGCCCCAGCAGCTTCGTGAGTGGTACGCTCAGAGTAGAGGGTCTCTCAGTTCTGTTCGCTGCTCTTACGTGATTCGCACTGGTGCTCGGACTGGTCAGCCTTGTGGGACGCCTAGTCATACACCGTCCCGCTGCTTCGCCCGTCTGAACGACGCCTGGCGTACCGAGTTTGGCGACGAGGCTGAGCTCCTCGACTGGGTGGAGTTGCTTAGGCAGAGGGTGGATATATTTGCTCTTGACTATGATGCTATTCTCACTGCTGCATTGCCTACTAGTGCTGACCGTGCCGGTCACCTGTGCGTACCGCCTGACCCGGGTATAGAGCCTGCTGCTCTAGCTGCTGGTGCGGCTGCTGCTCTGGGTGCTAGTGTGTCTCCTGCTCCAGGTACAGGTGCGGCTGCTGCTCTAGGTGCTAGTGAGTCTGCTCTCTCAGGTACCGCGTCGGCTCCGGCCTCTCACACCTTCAGCCTTAACTCGGGGGCTTCCCGCTCCTTCTTTCGAGACCGCACCACACTCACGCCGCTTGGTCGGCCAGTTGAAGTCTCTCTGGCATACCCCTCTGGGGGCCCTGTCCTTGCTCACTTCTCCACTGTCCTCCCGTGTCCGGCGGCCCCCTCTGGCACCCTGTCTGGTCTTTACCTCCCCTCGTTCTCTACGAACTTGGTGAGTGGTGCTGACCTGCAGGATGCGGGGGTTCACCAGTTCACTCCTGCGAGTCAGCGGGTGACCCACTGCACAGACGCTCGGACAGGCCGACACCTAGCCACGTTTACTCGTCGGCCGGGGTCGAGCCTGTACACACTGACCACTGCGTCTCCTCCAGTTACTGAGTCTGGTAGGGTAGCTGCGTCTGGTCAGGTGTTTGCTGCAGCGTCCAGGTCTGGTCCTGAGTCTGCCCCCTGTTCGTGTCGTCTACTGTCTCACGAGACTCTCCTCTGGCACCACCGCCTTGGTCACCCCTCTCTGCTTCGGCTCAGAGGCATGGCCTCTCGTCTTCTTGTTTCTAGTCTCCCCCGGCCCCTCCCTCCCCTTCCTCAGGGCCTGGCCCTACCTGTGTCCCCTCTGTCAAGGGGCGCCAGCGTGCTGTCCCTCACTCCTCCGAGTTTCTTCCAACAGAGGCCCCGATGCAGACGATTCACATGGATGTGTGGGGCCCAGCCCGCGTCCGTGGACAGGGTCACGAGCGCTACTTCCTGCTAGTTGTTGACGACTACTCGCGTTACACCGCAGTCTTCCCCTTGTGCAGCAAGGGTGATGTCACTGAGGTGCTGATCGACTAGATCCGCGCAGCTCGTCTCCAGCTCAGGCAAAGCTTCGGCTCGGACTTTCCTGTTCTGCGTCTGCACTCGGACAGAGGCGGAGAGTTTTCCTCTGGCCTTCTAAGATCCTACTGTTGCGCACGGGGCATCCGTCAGACCTTCACGCTTCCGGACTCTCCGCAGCAAAATGGGATTGCTGAGCGCCGCATTGGCATGGTCATGGACGTCGCTCGTACGTCTATGATGCATGCGGCTGCCCCACATTTTCTGTGGCCGTTTGCGGTGAGGTACGCAGCGCATCAGCTCAACCTTCACCCCAGGGTCTCCTGGCCGGAGACCTCCCCAGCCTTGCTGTGGACGGGGAAGGTTGGCGATGCGTCGGCGTTCCGGGTCTGGGGATCTCGGGCGTTTGTCCGCGACTTGTCAGCGGACAAACTGTCCCCTCATGCTGCTCCTTGCGTCTTCCTGGGGTTCCCCCCTGACGCGCCTGGGTGGCAGTTCTACCACCCCACCTCTCGCCGTGTTCTGTCCTCCCAGGACGTCACGTTTGACGAGTCGGTCCCCTACTACCGCCTCTTCCCCTACCGCACTCCGTTCCTCCCCCCGCCCCCGCTCTTCCTTGTACCAGGTCCCCCCCAGGTAGACCCCCTCCCCCCTCAGGGTCGTGCCCCTTCAGGTGTGTCCCAGGTAGACACAGTCGAGCCTGTCGAGGTCACTGGTGACTCTGGTGCTGCTGAGGGTGCTGAGCCTGGGGGTACTGAGCCTGGGGGTGCTGAGCCTGGGGGTGCTACGCCTGGGGGTGCTTTGCCTGGGGGTGCTGGGCCTGGGGGTGCTGAGCCTGGAGGTTCTCCGGGTGCTTCGTCTCGCAGGGAGCCACTCTCTCCACAACAGCTGCGCGAGTGGTTTGCCCGGCGCTGGAGCCCTGCTGCTGGCGCTGGAGGTTCTTCGGCTACTGGGGGTGCTGAGCCTAGGGGTGCTGAGCCTGGGGGTGCTGAGCCTGGGGGTTCTACGCCTGGGGGTGCTGGGCCTGGGGGTGCTGGCCCTGGGGGTGCTGAGCCTGGAGGTGCTGAGCCTGGGGGTGCTTTGCCTGGGGGTGCTGGACCTGGGGGTGCTGTGCCTGGAGGTGCTCCGCCTGGAGGTTCTCTGGGTGCTTCGTCTCGCCGGGATCCACTCACTCTACAGGAGCTGCGCGAGTGGTTTGCCCGGCGCTGGAGCCGTGCTGCTGGTGCTGGAGGTTCGTCGGTACTGAGGGTGCTACTGTCGCGGGTCCCGGAGGTGCTCGTCCTGGGAGTACTGGAGCTGCTTGGCCTGCAGGTTTGACTGGAGCTGGTGCTGCTGAGGGTGTTGGCGCTGAGACTACCAAGAGCGGTCCTGCTGGGGGTGCTCCTGGTGCTACTGGAGGTTCTAGAGCTGCTGGAGGTGCTGATGGGGGTTCAGGAGCTGCTGGAGGTGCTGCTGGAGGTGCTGGAGCTGCTGGAGGTGCTACTGGAGCGGGTACTCCTGCTGGGGGTCCTGGTGCTGTCCCTGCTGTTTCTGGCGTC